CCTTCCCCTGCCCTTGTGCCTCCCCTTCTCCCACACAGTTTTGCTTCTGATTGTCAGGAGTAGAAGGTGAGGGCTTTTGGGAAAATTATGGTCAGAGAGATCTATTTTATCTGTCTGGTGTGTAAGGCACTATGGTTAGGTGCAGAGGGGAGATGCAGAGATGGTACTACTTGAATTTTGTCATTAAAACTAGTCTAGAGAAAAGAAAAGACATGAGTGTAAAGGGTTATAATGTGGGAAAATATAAATCCTAAGGAGATAGAAATGACATGGAAGAAGGAGTTTGTATATTGCATGGTACATTGTTATTTGCCAATAACTTAGAAATAATAGGTGTCACCCTTACTCATTTCTCTTTTTCCAGTTTCTCTTAATACTTCATTATGTTTCCTTTATGTGCCTCTTAAATCATTACATTTGTTGTTAGTGTTGACTACTAGATTGTGAGCTATGTGTTCAAGGTCAAATACTACATTTTTTTTTTTTTTGGTTTCTCATTTCAGGACGTGTAGTAGTCCTTAAAAAAACCCCAAAAACTTAGATTTATGTTACTAAACAGTTATACTTGCTCCTTTATCTGAAATGCTTTTAATTCATGGTAACTTAGTTCTGTGTTCTCTTTTAGGTATTTTCGCCCCTCTTTCAAAGATAACTAAAGCAAAAGAACGAAAGAAGAATGTAACACATCCTCTTTCTTCAAAAACTGTACCACCTGTCAAGCCCCAAAGAGTCAACACAGCTCACACCACGTCAAAAGTGAACACCGGTAGGTCAACTAGGAGGTGAATGATGTTTGTGAACATTTGTGCTTTATTTGTGGGGTTGCTAATACCAGACAGCTTTGTTCTTTCTTGTTAGCAGTTGTGAAATCTAAATTTAATAGCCTGCATCTTGTGTTTTCAGGCCTGAGCCACGATTGACTTTAATTCCTAACAGGAATGGTCCAGACCTGGTTCCTTGTTTTCTTTCCTTTATCTGTTCCTCTGACTCCACATATTCTACCCACACGGCTTGGGTTGGCACCTCCAGCATGTCTGTCTGAAATACAGCTGGCCTCGTGTCCCTCACCCGTTCAGAGCTGTCCAGTGCCTTTCTTCCTTTGCTTTTCTTTCAAAGCATGTTTTGCACCTAGCATCATCATTCTCTTTGGTGTGGTGTCGCCCCTTTCTACTTGCGTGGCTGTGCTGTGCTTGTTTTGTCTCTTCTTCATTTCTTGCAGGCACCGTTCTTGCTCCTCTTTCTACCTTGTCTTAGACAGTTTCTGTGGATGCTTTGGTGTGACTACAGAGGTCTAGAGCATTCTATTTTCTTCTTCCTCTTCCTCTTCTTCCTCCTCTACCTCCTCCTCTTCCTTCTTCATCCTAGACCTCCTCTGCTTCTATATCTGTTGCCTCTCTTCCTTCTGCTACTATACCTCTTTTTCCTCCTCCTCTTTCTCTGTTGCCTTTTCTTCCTCTCTCTCTATTTTTTTTTTTTGTGACACAGGAAAATGAACCCAGGCCCTTCACACTGAGCTATGTTGCAACCCTTAAATTTGTTTTGAAATAGGGCTTTGCTAAATTGCCCAATTGGGACTCAAATGTGTGGTTTTCCTGCCTCAGCCTCCCAGAACTGGGATTAAGGAGTATGACACCACTCCTGACTACCATTCCGTTCTTTGACTTTTTATTCACATCTGATTTTCCGTAGATACCTCCCCTTTTAGCTCTTTTTGATCTCTTCATTTTCTAACTTTGCATGTACTTTGTGTCCACACTTGTTATTTGTTACCTTGGACTTTGTCCACTGATTGTTTTATTTGTAAAAATCTTTTATTCTCAGCAGAATTTTAAACTTTAAGGGAACTGTGGGAGCATTTTGTACATTTGTATTCACTGTAGCACACAACACCAAACAGGTGCTCAATAAATAATTAAAGCAGAAGGCTTTGTATCATCAGGAAAGGATTGTGTCCAAGATTTTTTTTCATTGTAAAGTCAATATAATTTTATTTTCAGAAAAATATGTCACCAGGAAAACTGCAAGAAAGAGCTCATCAAACACAAATATTTCTTTCTTTCTTTTTTTTTCTTTCATTCATTTCCTTTATTTACAATTGAGAATCGGGAATTTCACAAAATAAGTCACAAAGTCACTGAAAGGTCCCCCAAATGGTACTGTCAAACTTAAAAGAATGCAAAGATTGTATGCAGTGAAATCATTTAGTCCCTTTTCTAGGGCATAAACTCTTGGAGTTCAAAAAATTATCCAAAGTCCTCTATTCCATAGCTTCCCAGGGTAGCCATGACCACCAGAATGTCTGGTCTCGGTGTTCTGTTCAGTTGAGCTGTTTGAATATCTCTGTGATGATGCTGCGCTTAATCATTTTTTTATAATTAATTTTATTGAGAAAGAAATAGCAATGACACAGTTTCAAAATTATGAAACACTCTCATTAGTAGGACAGTTAAATAATTAATACATTGCATATTGTTGTCTTTGTAGTAGTTATTCAGAGTATAAGATGCAGACATGCTATCTTGTCTAAACACTATTAGTATAAATCTTCTCATTGAACTAAGAGAAAGTAGCTGTATGTCTATCCTATTTTGTATACACAGACATATATATTTATATATATATATTTTTTTTTCTCTGCAAAATGGACCTTCATTTGTATCCCCCTTTTTTGTTTAGTTTTGTCAGAGATGAGTATTCCATTGCCATTCAAATATTGTAGGTGTGTGAATTCAGCAAAATAATCCAATATAGTCAAATAGTCTGTAATAGTAGTGGGTTATTCACGGAACTGGCAATGTCAGAAGTTGTTGACTTGAGCCTTTTACAGCTCATCATATTACTATGGCTTTATTTTTTATACCTCGTGTTTATTTATTTATTTATTTATTTTACTGGATGGTTAAAATCAAGATAAAGGAAGACCTATATAATAAAAAAATGTAACTTTTGTATCTGACAAGGTCAGTCAAATCCCCTCAGGATTTACCCTGAGACCATGTACAGCAGTTTGTAAATCTTTTGTCAGTGTCAGCCATGTGGATGAGTCATGGCCATTGCTTGACTAATTTGCTTTCTGTGAAAGCCTGAGAGAATGTTTTCTCTCCATGTGACTCTCCTTAGGCACACTCTACATCATTGATCACTTTCCTCTGTGACTCCATAATTTCCTTGAACAGAAAATTTGGAACACTGCTAAGTTATAGGATGTTACAGTACAGGTTCTCTTATGTCCTGAATCCTCACTGACATTGAAGGGAAAGGACCAAAATATTGGCTATTCTTGTAGCCCTTCTTTTTCTCTAATTTTTTGGTCTGCAAACTTAAGGTGTTAGCCCTCCAGAAGAAAAGCTTAATGATATTATTACCCTATAACATAGGCATTTGAGCTTAACATCACTATCTGTCTGAATATCAAAACCTTAGACATAACATGAAACAGGTATTTTCCAACAATCATCGATAAGCTAAACTTTAAATTCCTACAGAGTGTGAAAAAAATAAAAATAAATAATTACATATTTTTATGTAGATATTTAGAAATCTAACTATATATAACATTGTAGCAGGACAGTCCTATGACATTTTTCTTCTTGTCTCGTTTTCTTTTATTATCTTTTTTTAAACAAACATTTATTTGAGAGAGAGAGTATAGCAATAATTGATATGACATTAGAAGCAGTATGTATTTAGAAGGCCAGAATGACAGGCATTCCAAGCATGGCCCTAGTATTATATATTGCTATCCTTGGTGCAGTTGCTTAGTTCACAGGCTGTACTTAATCATAATGCTTAAAAATCTTTAGGTCCAAGAGAGGAGTTCATCCTACCTTCTTTTTGAAGATTATCTTATCTATTTTGGACCCTTATACATCATAATTATGAATTTTAGAGTAAGCTGTACATTTCTTTCTTTCTTTCTTTCTTTCTTTCTTTCTTTCTTTCTTTCTTTCTTTCTTTTTTTTTTTTTTTAGCAGAACCAGGGATTGAACTCAGGCCCTTGCACTTGCCAGGCAAGTGCTTATTCTATTGAGCCATCTCCCTGGAATCTGTTCAGGTTTTAATTGATATTACCCTTAAACTTGAAATCAATTTGTAAAAGGCTGACATCTTTTCAATGGTCTTTTAACTATGTACTTGGAATATTTTTTAATTAGATCCTTTAAAAATATCTCAGTGCCATTATGTAATGTTTTCTATACATACTTACTTTTTCCTGATCCATTTGTTGGATCTATTTTTCAGTACTTCATGATATATCGTAAGTGGTGTCCTCTTCACATGCCCGGTGCAGATGGACAGAAAGCTCTAAGAAAACGTCTTGATTTACAGCCTGAGGCATAGAAACAGTTTCCTACTAGACAGAATGTAGAGGAAAACTTCTCATTCTTGCCCGTTTTGCATTTTACTTTTCCGCCCCAGTCCCCAAGAAGCCCTGTATGATGTGGCAGTAGCAGTGGGTGGTCGGCACCAGAGCACAGCGGAGCCAGTCTTGTCTCCAAGGGGAGCAGCAAAGTGGATGAGTTCCCATTGGTTTATCTTCTGTTTTCTTCCCACTTGGACTGGAGGTAGGATCAGTCTCAGGAGATTGTACAATAGAGCGGAGAGCTTCAACCTCAAAATGATAGATAAGAACTCTTGGCCTTGTCCTTAATTGTGCATATGTGAATCTGAGTGAACACTTTGGTCTCCTGGGTGGACCCCTGGCAGGTCCGGACTGACTGCTGGGTAACGAGCACATGAGATAAACTCAGGCACCACTGCAAAGGCTCTGGAAACCCAAGTGCATAGAATTGATGTGCATGAAACCTAATCTGGTCAACTGCCTGCTGAGCAATGTGAACCCAATGAATAAAACCAAGGATTAAACTGTACCTGCAGTACTATTACATAGTATCTAGGATACTGAAAATATGAAAACCAAGAAAATCTCTACATTTTTCAAGGAAAAGTCAGAGGATGCCAGCCATGAGATGACATGGACAGTACATTGAACACAAAGACTTTAAAGGAAATATAAACATGCTGCAGAGTTAAGGGTAAATGCTCTAACATGCTGCAGAGTTAAGGGTAAATGCTCTTTTTTTTTTAAGAACTTGACTCTGCCTATGGTTACTTTTTAATTTATTTTTTTATTGAGAAATAAATATGAATGAGACAGTTTCACAGCTGACTAATAGGACAGATTTGATAATCAATACATTGTACATTGTTATCTTCTTAGTGGTTATCCATAGTACAAGAAGCAGACAGGATATTCTGTCCAAACACTGTTAGTGCACCTCTTTCTTCTCATTGAATTAAGGGAAAGTAGATGTAAATTGATTCTATTTTGTATATATAAATACAAAATGATCTTTCCTTTGTATCCTTTTTTTTTGTCCTGTCAGAGGTGAATATTCTATTGGCATCTAAATACAATAGGTGTTTGAATTCAACTAAACAATCTAACACTGTCTAGAAGTCTATAATATTAGTGGGTTGTCCTCAGAAGTTATTGACTTGAGCCTTTTACAGCTCATCGTATTAATATGGATTTACTTTGTATACCTCGCTTTTATACTTTTCTGCTGGATGGTTAAGACTAAGATATAGCAAGACCTATATACCAAGAAATGTAACTTTTGTATCTGATAAGGTCAGCCAAGTATTCTCAGGATTTGTCCTGTAGCCCTGTACCGCCTTTTGTACATCCTTTTGTCAGTGTCTGACATGAGGATGAGTCATGGCCATTGCTTGACCAATTTGCTCTCTGTGAAAGCTTGAGAAAATGTTTTTTCTCTCCGTGTGACTCTCCCCAGGCTCACTTTACATCATCAAACACATTTCTCTGTGGCTCCATAATCTTCTTGACTAGAAAATTTGGAGCACAACTGAGTTACATGATGTTACAGTACAGGTTCTCCTATGTCCCGAGTCTTCACTGACCTTGAAAGGCTAGGGCAAAATGTTGGCTAACCATGCAGCTCTTCCTTTTCTCCAATTCTGATAAATACTCTTAAGACAAATGGAAAGAAAGTTACAGCAGAAGAATAGGAGCTGGAGAAGAGAACCAAATGGTGCATGTATACACAGACACACAGACACATGCACGCACACGCACACGCACACGCACACACACCTCCCCCCCACCTCCCACAAGCACAGCTGGGATAATCTAAATGAGATCTGTTACTATTTCACTATCATTATCCTGGTTGAATTATTATACTGTAGGTTTGTAAAATACCACCTTTGGGGAAACTGGTCAAAATATACTTTGGATCTTTTTATATACTTTGTATAACTCCATGTGAGTCTCTAGTTACCCTTATGAAAATCCAAATAAAACAGGGAACTGGGTATTTTAGAAATGAAAAATGTAATAATTAGAAAAACACAAAGTCCCCTGTACAGGCTGCCATCTCCGACCACTCTGCCCTTGTAGCCAGGCCTTCTCCCCTGACCACTGCCGTAGCCCCTCCCGGCTCTACTTCCAGCCTGCTTTCTCTCTGCCAGCCTGCTGCCCGCAGGGTGGATGCACATGGCTTCCCTTGGCTGCGCTGAGCACATGAGAGTGACCTCAGGCCATGTCTAACATACAGTACCATATATTTAATGTATTTAAATAACAAGACTTCCTTTACATTAAAAACATTTATTACAATGCAGAGCTGGCTGTCTGACCCACGGACTCATTCTTTACAGAAAGGTTGCATTTGTTTTTCTCGAGCTGAGCACAGGTGAGGCATATGCTTACCACTGAACTACACCCAGCCCCACATCCTGGTTTCATGCTCAGGCATTGTGTCCCTCTGAGAGATGCAGCAGCACCCGTCTCTCCAACTTTTGTGTTCCAGAAGAACTCTTGTTTTGGCCAAGCTCATCGCCATTTTCTGTGTTTTACTGTAACTTTTCTGTCTTTCCCCCAGAATCTCTATTCCAAGTTCTTTATGCCCATGCCTCTAGCATCTGGGGGAAGAAATCTGACTTACTAGAATGGGATCTGGATGAAGCACTGACTTATCTTTGTAGCCAGTTATTGTTACCTGTGCAAGTGCTTTCATAAAAAGTGTCCTCACCTGTTATTTATGTTCATTTCTTTCTATCATACCAAATTGAAAAGGTCACCACCGTAAGGACTAGATACATGTATGGTTTATGTTTATGGTACTCAGCATCCTGGCACAGTTCTTCCCCCAAAATGCTTCATAAGTGAGTAGCATTGGAAAGGGTACCTTAAAGCTGGGTACAGTTTTAAGTTAGCTTTGTACTGTATACAACTGAAATAGATGTCTTTGTCAGGCAGACTTACTCAGTATTTTTCCCCAAGTAAAGTTTCTGTGGTAATTGATATCATAGTGGTTCATTTTTTTTTTTTCTTCTGTATTTGGCACAGGGTCTACAAGGTCTCATTAAGTAGATTAGACTCATAGTGATCCTCCTGCTTTCAGCCTCCCAAGTGCTGGGATTACAGGCGCACGCCACCACTCCTAGTCTCAATCACTGGCTCAGTGTACACTGGGGGTGGGCGCCGCTGCACTCTGCCTAAGCAGGCTCTTTAGTCTGCTGAGCTATCAGGCTGGCCCGGTGGTCATTCTTACAGTACTGAGGCAGACAGCATAGGATATGTTACTGTCTTAGTGCACGGTCCATGCTAATCTTCTCTGTGTCGTTCTAGTTTTAGTATATGTGCTGCCGAAGCGAGCACATATTTTACTATCTTGACTCTCATTTATTTTTATGTATGTATGTATGTATGTATGTATGTATTTGGTACAGGGTCTCACTCTGCAGCTTGGACTCCTAGTGATCCTCCTGTTTACAGCCTCCCAAGTGCTGGGATTACAGGCGCGTACCAACATGCCCAGTCTCAATTGCCATCTCAGCATGCCCTGGGGGCAGGATTGGCATGGTAGGCCTGGGGATCGAACTCCCGGCCCCTGCGCCTGCTTGTAGGCACTTTATTCTGCTGAGCTATTTGGCCAGCCTCAACTCTCATTTAAATGAATAGTTGCTATAATTGGCAAAAATTTTTGCCCCAGATCATTGTCTACATACAAAAACTCCTATATTTCTGTGCATACACCAGAGAAGTCACATAAATTACCTGCTAGTCCTAGAGAACAGCAGCTGTATCTAGGAGTGCTAAGTTTGATGTTGCTGTTACTGTGATGGAAGTATCCTGGGAGAGTCCATTCACAGTGAATGGACAGTTGGCAGGCATGGGGTATTGCCCCTCTCTTGGCTCTCCAAGACTCCAGCCTGGGCTCATCCTCCTGGCACTTTCCTCATCATCAGGAAGGGTGGCAGAGGTGACACTGGAGGGCTTGCTGTCATCACTAACTCACCAGTTGCTGCAGTCCCCAGTCCCATCCCACCATGAGTCCCAAGGGGGCTGCCTAGAGAATTGGGGCTGTTGGAGTGGGCAGCAGTGAAGTGGAACCAGAAAATACCTAAAAAGGACAGAAAGAGCTGCACTTAGCAGACATGATCACTGACACCATGGTGCGATTTGTTGGCAAAGAGAAAGGAGAATGTGACAGGCTGCAACAGAAAGCTCCGGAGGAAGCTAACCAAAGAAAATGCAAGAACCGGCAAGCAAAGATAATTGCTAAAGAAAAACACTTTAGGAAAAAAATGTACAGAAGGGGAAAGAACAAAAAAAATTAAGAAATGGAGGAAAAATCAGCAAAGGAACTGGAGAAAGAACATTTGCAAGAAAAAGCAAATGAAAAATAGCAAGAGTAGTTAAAGAAAAATGTTGAAGAAATAAAAAGACAGTGCAGCTGATTTACAAGAGGAAAAGAAGAGAGTGGAACTTTAAGGAATGGTTTG